TTTCCTAGTACCCTGAGCACCAAACATTCTAACTTTCTCTTTCTATGGATAAGTTTCTTCTATTCTATGCCGTTATTTCACATTTCTTTTCTTGAAATAAAATCCAGGGATGGCAGATCTTTTTTTGTTTCTTATACGGGAGAAGTTGCAAAACTTACATATTTTGTGTAACGTTCCAATAGCTATTGTACCATGGCTTTATTTAAACATCTTTCCCTGTGGAATGAGATGTGCAACATTTGGGAAATTTTTATCGAGGAAACGTTTTGCCACAAGTGGCTTTTTTTAGTCCAATACAGAAAAGAACAGTGAAAGATGAGAGGGAGAATGAAGTCTCATTCTTCAACTTTTCAGTTTTCTAAATCATTATATCACGTCTTTCATTGTGTGTTCCTTCATAGGGTCTTCCTGTACTCTTAGTGCGCCCTCTCTTTGTGTCCAGCGTCTATCACCTCTCTCTCTGTATCCAGCGTCCATCTACCAGCATTTCACGAGGTGTGGTCACTGTAGGAGAGTCGGGCAGGACAGACAACACTGCCTCTGGAATGGATTTTATCACACAAGGGGCGACACAGTTCTTCCATTTTCATTACAGTAATTCACTTTGTCTATAATTACGATGAATCGTTCTATAACTGCCTCTCATTGTTTTCACATAAAGGTCTTAGGTATTACGTCTGCACCATATTTCAATTTGATTATAATTATGATGTTTCACTTTGTCTATAACTGTCTATCGTTGTTTATCATTTAGGTAAGAACGTCAGTTTCACACTGTGAAGTACGAAGAAAGACGGAAAGCGGAACTTTAAACAGTGTTGAAAAACACGGTCGGCAGGGACGAGGAGGAGGGCAGTTTATTCTGGAAATAAAATGTTTATAATCTCCGAAAGTATGATACCAACCAAACATTTACAATTACTAACATCTGCGTAACTAAGAGCTCTTTCATTTCGTTAGAAGATATTATCTGAAAAAAAAAAATCAGCGGTTAACGAGTAAAACGCGAAAAAACAGTGAATGTACGAAATGAGTTGAATACTCATCGTCACATACGACATTATAGCAGGACAACCACAGTGTTTCATCACAGAGTAATAGTAGTAAGTTTTATGTCTAAGGAACGAAGAGAGTTGCTGAGATTAGAAAGACTGAAAATGTAAGGAAGGCAGAGTAAAGAAGAGTTCTCAGAAGTAGAGAGTTTGGGAGAGAAGACATTACGTTTAGCACGTGAGAAGGCAGAGTCTATGAAATGGGAAGGGTAGCCACTCTTCATAATTCATTTTCCCGTCTTGGCTACCCTTCCCATTTCATAGACTCTGCCTTCCCACGTGTTAAACGTAATTTCTTCTCTCCCAAACTCTCTACTTCTGAGAACTCTTCTTTCCTCTGCCTTCCTTACATTTCCGGTCTTTCTAATCTCAACAACTCTCTCCGTTCCTTAGAGTAACAGTAATATAGAAAGCTTCGAATACATAAAAATCCTTACATAATAGAGAAAGCCTCACACAATATAGAAAGCCTCACATAATAAAGAAAGCCTCACATAGTTTAAAAAGCCTTACACAATATGGAAAGCTTCACACATTACAAAAACCCTTACATAATATAGAAAGCCTTACACAATATAGAAAGCCTCACATAATATAGAAAGCTTAACATAATATAGAAAGCCTTACACAATATAGAAAGCCTCACATAATATAGAAAGCTTAACATAATATAGAAAGCCTCACACAATATAGAAAGCCTCACATAATATAGAAAGCTTAACATAATATAGAAAGCCTCACACAATATAGAAAGCCTCACATAATATAGAAAGCTTAACATAATATAGAAAGCCTTGCACAATATAGAAAACCTTACAAAATATAGAAAGCCTCACATAATATAGAAAGCCTCGCACAATATAGAAAACCTCACATAATGTTGAAAACCTCACATAATATAGAAAGCCTTGCACAATATAGAAAGCATCACATAATATAGAAAGCCTCACCTCCACTCAAGGAAGGAGCACTGCACCAGACCCAACAGCACAAGCTAGTCAGGTCCAACTCACACCCACCTACACCCACTCATGTATTTATCCAACCTATTTTTAAAACTACACAACGTTTTAGCCTCTATAACTGTACTCGGGAGTTTGTTCCACTCATCCACAACTCTATTAACAAACCAGTGCTTTCCTATATCCTTCCTGAATCTGAATTTTTCCAACTTGAAACCATTGCTGCGAGTCCTGTCTTGGCTGGATATTTTCAGTACGCTATTTACATCCCCTTTATTTATTCCCGTTTTCCATTTTTACACCTCGACCATATCCCCCCTAATTCTACGCCTTTCTACAGAGTGCAGATTCAGGGCCCTCAGTCTGTCCTCATAGGGAAGATTTCTGATACATGGGATCATCTTTGTCATCCTCCTCTGTACGTTTTCCAGAGAATTTATATCCATTCTGTAATAGGGTGACCAGAACTGTGCAGCAAAGTCTAAATGAGGCCTAACCAAGGATATACAGAGTTGAAGAACAACCTGAGGACTTCTATTATTTATACTTCTAGATATGAAGCCAAGAATTCTGTTAGCTTTATTGCGAACACTAATGCACTGTTGTCTTGGTTTTAGATTACTGCTAACCAGAACTCCTAAATCTTTTTCGCAATCAGTAGTATTAAGATCTACATTATTTAGTTTACATGTCACATGGTTATTTTCCTGTCCAACATTTAGAACTTTGCATTTGTCTATATTAAACTGCATCTGCCACTTCTCCGACCATTGCATCAGTCTATTCAAATCATCCTGGAGTGCTCTAGTTTCCTCATTAGAATGAATTGGACGGCCTATTTTGGTGTCATCAGCAAATTTGCTTATGTCGCTATTTATTCCTTCATCTATGTCGTTATTGTAAATTGTGAACAACAACGGGCCCAACACTGACCCCTGAGGAACACCGCTTGTGACGTGCCGCCATTCTGATTTCTACCCATTTATGCAAACTCTCTGCTGCCTATTTGTCAGCCATGCCTGTACCCAGGAAAAAAATTCTCCTCCTATTCTGTGTGCCTTAAGTTTCCTCAATAGCCTCTGGTGTGGAACTCTATCAAAAGCCTTACTGAAGTCCATATACACAATATCATATTCATTACCATGATCTACCTCCTCAAACACCTTAGTGAAAAATGTTAGTAAATTCGTAAGACAGGAACGCCCCTTTGTAAAACCGTGTTGAGATTCATTAATCATTCTGTACCTGTCAAGATGGCTACGAATTGCTTCGGCAATTATTGATTCCATAAATTTTCCCGCTATGGAGGTAAGGCTTATTGGTCTATAGTTGGAAGCCAAGGACCTGTCACCTGCCTTGTAAATAGGTATTACATTTGCCATTTTCCACTTATCAGGCACTATGCCGGTGTGTAGTGATATGTTAAAAAGATTAGCCGAAGGTATGCTAAGTTCCTCTTTACATTCCTTTAACACCCTTGCAAACAGTTCCTCACGGCCTGGGGATTTGTTAGGTTTCAGTTTCTCTATTTGTCTGAGGACCATGTCACTAGTTACCGCAATCGTGCATAGTTTATTATCGTCCTATTCTACATAATCTGTTATTTCAGGAATATCGCTAGTATTTTCCTGGGAGAAAACTGAGAGGAAGTAGGCGTTGAAAATTTCACACATATCCTTATCACTGTCAGTGATCTGACCAGAGTTACTCTTAACTGGGCGAATCTTGTCCCTAATCTTACTTCTGTATACCTGAAAGAACCCTTTTGGGTTAGTCTTTGAATCCCTTGCGACCTTAGCCTCATAATCCCTTTTTGCTTTTCTTATTCCTTTCTTTATTTCTCTCTTTAATTGAATATATTGATTTCTTAACTGCCCATCCCCTCTTTTGATACGCCTGTATATGTCTCTCTTTTGACCAATAAGATGTTTTAATTTATTGTTCATCCATTTGGGATCATTTTTGTTAGATCTAATTTCCCTACTCGGAACAAAAGTTGTCTGGGTAGCTAAAACTATGCTCTGAAAAACATCATATTGGCAACCAAGATCACCTACCTGACCCATAGTCAGAACATCCCAATTTAGCCCACCCAGGTAATTTTTCAGTCCCATGAAGTCGGCCAAGTGAAAATCTGGGACAGAGATTTGATGGCAGTTATCTGGGTAATTCCATGATATATTGAAACTAAGTGATTTGTGATCACTTTATGTAGTGTAGAAAGCTTCACAAAATATAGAAAGCCTCACATAATATAAAAGGCATCACATGGTATAGAAAGCCTCACACAATATAGAAAGCCTCACACAATATAGAAAGCCTCACACAATACAGAAAGCCTCACATAATGTAGAGAGCTTTGCACAATATAGAAAAACCACATAATATAGAAAGCATCACACAAGAGAGAAAGCTTCACATAATATAGAAAGCCTCACATAACATAGAAAGCCTCACATAATATAGAAAACTTCATATAATATAGAAAGCCTCACATAATATAGAAAGTCTCACATAATATAGAAAGCCTCACATAACACAGAAAGCCTCACATAATATAGAAAGCTTCATATAATATAGAAAGCCTCACATAATATAGAAAGTCTCACATAATATAGAAAGCCTCACACAATATAGAAAGCCTCACATAATATTGGAAACCTCTCAAAAAGAGTATTTGAGTGTGCCATAATACTGTATTCATCATTCACGGGTCTGAGAAACGTACAGCAAAGGTCACTGTGATATATAACATTCGTCACCTGCCACAGCAACACAGCAGGGATCCAGAAGCAAAGGAACACTTGAAGAACAATGTAGAAGTGATCCAAGGAAAAGAACACTTGAAGAACAATGTGGCAGGGATCCAAAAGCAAGAGAAATTGAAGAACAATGTACTAGGATCCAGAAGCTACAGAACACTTGAATATCAATGGAGCAGGGATCCAGAAATAGGAGAACACTTGAACAATGTGAGAAAACGTACCGGTCATAAGATACATCGAATGTTGTAAAGAAACTCCTGAGGGTGGAAAGCTGAATGCTACATCCAGCTGAAGACTCTACAGCAAAGATGCTACAGGAAGCGACCCCAGCAACAGGAAGGCGGCACGATTAATAAAAAAATTAGACGGCAGGCGAATGACTGTTGAAATCTCTTCTGTGGTGTTGTTGGCCAGTGAAGAGGAGGATCACAGGTCATTCTGTCTCCTGCACTTCAGGAAAGGCTGCTTCTTGTAGCAGGGTGACTGCGGAACCCCGGAAGACGCTGCTTCCTGTAGCAGTGTGACTATAGAATCCCAAAAGACTCTGCTTCTTATAGCAAGGTGACTGTAGAATCCCAGAAGACTCTACCTACTGAAGCAGGGCGACGAAGTAACCACGAAACTATAGCTGAAATTTGACAGAGGTGGCTGTCTGTCAGCAAGATTCAGACAGAATACTCTGCCCCGAGAGCGGCGTTGAGAGTGACGGGGAGGGGGGGGGCAGCATAGTGTCGCAGTCACTGTTATCTTGCTGATAACACGAGTAATCGCCCTGGGGCCGATAGCAACTATAAACGTTGCCTTTTAGACAGCTGTAGCCGAAGCTGTTATCGCCGTGAGCAGGATATTAGTTACTGATAAGGTGATTACCGTCGACGATGATGATAATGATAATAATGATAACGATAATTATGATGATGGTAATGAAAATGATAATGATGATGATAATGGTAATGATAATAAAGCCAAGTGCCAGGAACTAGTCTTGCTACTGCCAGGATACTGTTTCTCCTCACTACTTCCTAGCCTTCTAACTTCCTCCTAGCCTTCTAGCTTCCTAGCCTTCTAACTTCCTCGTAGCATTCTAGCTTCCTAGCCTTCTAACTTCCTCCTAGCCTTCTAGCTTCCTAGCCTTCTAACTTCCTAGTCTACTGTCTTGCCTCACTCTTATCTCCCTAGCTTGTACTTACTTTTCTCTCATTTAGACTGCTGCCAAAAACTTCTCACAAATAAATTCACGTAAAAAAAAATACTTTGATAGCCCCACTTCACAAATGTGGCAGTAAAGCAATATTGCAAAGAATTACACATCGATAACACTAATATCCCACAACATAAAAATCTTTGAAAGGGTTCTAAGAAGCAAGATCGCCAACCACTTGGATACCCGACATTTGCACAACCCAAGGCAGCATGGGTTTAGAGCAGGTCGCTCCTGCCTACTGAACCACTATGGATGCACTGCAGGACTAACAAAATGCGAGAGCCTTTGACAAGTGCGGTCATGGTGTAATAGCACACAAAATGCGTGACAAAGGAATAACAGGAAAGTGGATAGGTGGATCTATAACTTCCTAACAAATAGAACACAAAGAGTAACAGTAATCAGAGGAAAGTCAGAGGTGGCTACAGTGAAAAGCTCTGTTTCATGAGCTATAGTACTCGTTTTCATCCTTTTCTCGATCCTCATATCTGACACAGACAGAGATGTAAGCCACAGCACAACGTCCTCCTTTGCTGATGATACCAGAATTTGCATGACAGTGTCATCCATTGAGAACATTGCAAATCTCCAAGCGGACATTAATCAAGTCGTAAAATGAGCCTCAGAAAACAATTTGAAGTTCAGTGAAGAGAAATTTTAACTACTCCGCTATAGGAGTGATACTGTCACAGAATCTAAGTTTCAGAGATCCAAACAATGTCTCTACCACTTCTGCTAGGGATGCCAAGTCAATAATGATCCTCTTTAAATCACTTGTTCTCTCTAGGCTGGAATATTGCTTTCAAGTCAGGAGAAACCGCAGATCTGGAGAATATACAGAGAACTTTCACTGCACGTATAAATACGATAAAGCATCTAAATTAATGGAACGGTTGAAGTTCCTAATCCTGTACTCCTTGGAACGCAGGCGAGAAATATACATGATAACATACACTTGGAAAATCCTAAAAGGATTAGTCGGAAATCTGCACACGGAAATCATTCCCTTTGAAAACAAAAGACTAGGCAGGAGATGCAACATCCCCCCAATGAAAAGCAGGGGCGCCACGAGTACACTAAAAGATAACACATTAAGTAACAGGGGCCCAAGACTGTTCAGCTGCCTCCCATCAAACATAGGGGAAATTACCAATAGACCCCTGGCTGTCTTCAAGAGGGAGCAGGACAGGCACCTAAAATCAGTACCTGACCATCCGGGCTGTGAGTCGTACGTCGGTTTACGTGCGGCCAGAAGTAATAGCCTGGTTGATCAGACCCTGATCCACCGGGAGACGTGATAATGGACCGGGCCGCGGAGGCGTTGACCCTCGGAACACCCTCCAGGTATATTCCAGGCATTAAATGCGTTCTGAAAAAGGTTTTATATACTCCACAAATAAATCTATTTATACGATGCTTTCTAAATTGATAAAATTTTTGGTTGTTAACGTTCTATGTTGTTAACATTCTAGGTTACTAACATTCTAGAGTGTTAACGTTCTATGTTGTTAACATTCTAGGTTACTAACATTCTAGAGTGTTAACGTTCTATATTGTTAACGTTCTAGGTTGTTAACGTTCTGGGTTGTTAATGTTCTAGGTTGCTAACGTTCTAGGTTGTCAACGTCTAGGCTACTAACGTTTCAGGTTGGTAACGTTCCAGGTTGCTAATGTTCCAGTTTGCTAACGTTCCAGGTTACTAACGTTCCAGGTTGCTAATGTTCCAGTTTGCTAACGTTCCAGGTTGCTAACGTTCCAGGTTGCTAACGTTCCAGGTTGCTAATGTTCCAGGTTGCTAACGTTCCAGGTTGCTAACGTTCCAGGTTGCTAACGTTCCAGTTTGCTAATGTTCCAGGTTGCTAACGTTCCAGGTTGCTAACGTTCCAGGTTGCTAATGTTCTAGGTTGCTAACGTTCCAGGTTGCTAACGTTCCAGGTTGCTAACGTTCCAGTTTGCTAATGTTCCAGGTTGCTAACGTTCCAGGTTGCTAATGTTCCAGGTTGCTAACGTTCCAGGTTGCTAACGTTCCAGGTTGCTAATGTTCCAGGTTGCTAACGTTCCAGGTTGCTAACGTTCCAGGTTGCTAATGTTCCAGTTTGCTAACGTTCCAGTTTGCTAATGTTCCAGTTTGCTAACGTTCCAGTTTGCTAACGTTCCAGCTTGCTAACGTTCCAGTTTGCTAATGTTCCAGGTTGCTAACGTTCCAGGTTGCTAACGTTCCAGGTTGCTAATGTTCCAGGTTGCTAACGTTCCAGGTTGCTAACGTTCCAGGTTGCTAATGTTCCAGTTTGCTAACAAGCTGTGAGTGAGAAACAGTCATGACCTTCTACTAGTTCTTTCTCACTCTGAGATAAAAGTTCAAATCTGAGCATTGTTTCCTGTTTTACTCCAGTTTTGTCCGGACTAATTTGCTTATTTGTGGTTAAATTCACTCCTTTATACTATCTTCATGTAACTGGACGGCACATTCAAGATGCATATTCAAGGTGCATTACAGAGAGCCAATACGCTGTAAAACTTGGAATTCTTGTAGGTGTTGCTGTTAGCAGATAGTCGTTGCTTGGTATTTTTGAGGTCGTTGCAAGACTCCTTTCTTCTCTTGTTTTGGTTAGTTTACTGCCAAACATTATGCATTCGTGTACGAGATTTTTATAAGAAAAAATGCATGATTTTACACTTGTCTACGTTGAAACTCTTCTTCTACATCTCTAGCTACAGCGCCAGCCTGTCCAGGTCACTCTAAATAATCAGATTGGCTTTGGACGCTCCACTGGGACGACTTCTAATGTTATTCATCGGAGATGGAAAGGACAAAGGATAAGTTATCTTTCATCATGATCCATTCATCACAGATGTTAATAATGTTCCAGAGGATCTGCGGGAGGAATACATGTACTTGGATCTGAAAAATCATTTGGAGGCTCAAGACGTGTACCAGTAGTCGATCACTGCAAAATTTTGGGCCAGCATGACTGGAAATTGCCCAAATCTGTCAATACATGCAGTCAGATTGCTTTTGCCATTTGCATCATCTTTTATATGCAAAACTGGATTTTCGTGTTTGTTGGACATTAAGTCCAACATTAAGTACTATAATGTTAGACTTCTCCTCTGTTTTTAAATCATTCCTCAAGAAGATGGTCCTCTCCAAACACTGGAAAGTTTGTAAGTGAGAAGAGAATCCCCCTCCCCCTCCCCCTCCCCCTCCCCCTCCCCCCCCCCTCCCCCTCCCCTCCCCCTCCCCCTCTTCCCCCCCCAAAAAAAAAAACTATTAGAAAATAAATATTAAACGAAAATGTTCGTTGTCTACTTTGTTTTACCATTTCTCAAAAAAGAGTTGGTGGTCCTCGAAATTATTTTGATCCGTGGTGATCCGTGGACTAAACATGAATTAAGAACACCTGACTTAAAGCAATATTATGTTCTTGTAAAGCATGTGCGGATATTTAGTCCTTATATATTTTTTTATTTTTGGAATCCATTGCCAGCGTTTCTTTAAGATAATGTTAGCTGGCCCAGCTGATCTTCCCTTGAAACAGTTTGAAGGTGACGTCGAACATATGTAAACCTGACTGACCCAATTACTATGTGTCACCGAAATCTAGTTTGGTTTGCTTTTCCCAAGGTCGCTGCCACTAGCTGGGCGGCTTCCACCAGCTGGGCGGCTTCCACCAGCTGGCAGCCAGTTACGCTCAGCTCCTTATCTCTTGTGACAAGACAGCCTTCATGATACTATTTAATATTATTATTATTATTAGTAGTAGAAGAATTAGCAGTAGTAGTAGTAATAGTAGTAGTAGCAGCAGTATCAGCAGTAGAAGCAGTAGCATCAGCAGCAGTAGTATAATTAGTAGTAGATGTTCACAAGGAAGCGGCAAATCCGAATGGATTATAGAACACTAAAGAATAAGTAAAAGATCTGTGCAGGAGGTTACTGCACAAAAATGGAGCCAAGTTTGTTGAAATAGCAACAGATAGCAGTAATACAGAGGACGGTGTCGCATACCCTTGCTACATCAAGGTTGCTTATTGCAAGGAGACGAAGATAAAGCATTCGATGATTATACCTTATGAGTTTGAAGATAGCATTTGGACTCCTGACACACGCTACACAGGACATGTACATCGAAAGATTTATGTCTCTCAGTGTATATACCCTTAGACTTGACTTTAATTTTAGGGATTACAGTAACCTTAACTGGCAGTGAACAGATGACATGCATCCTTAGTAGCCCTCGTGTAACAGACTGCATTTAAACTCAACCAGCCAAGCAATCAGACCCTCACATGCGTCAGAAGACGATCATCTGAGGATGGGCTGGAGACCTGCCAGATGGTATTGAGTTCAACTCACCTCACAAAAACGCGACAAGAAAGTTTCCAAATATGATCCGTGTGGATTATACGCTGTATGACGCATACGGGAGTAACGTTTCGCGTAAAAATCCAAATATCCTCAGGAAAATCTTCTAAAATTTATCAGTGGCTACT